CCAGGCAGAAATAATTTGCTCCGTTTTTCTTTCTTTCGGGCTTAACTGGCCCTGTAATGCTCATCATCATGTTTGCGCTGCCTGGTACTTGCACTCTGACGTGGCATATAGCCACTTCCCACATCGATTCTTGGTCCCTGATGACGATACACAACCTGCCTATCGAGAGGGGTAGGAGAGAAATCTACTCCTATTCGCAGAACACTGGACCCCCTATTCTAACGTGACCAGGCCCTGACTTGTTGCATTTGGACCACCCAGACTCTGATGATTCAGACTCTGACTTGCTAGGACGATCCAGATCCAGACTTCGACTCTAGACCAGACCAGCAGCAGTCACCTTCAGAGGGTCAGAGGGAGAGAAGGTAGGGGACACACACATACATGCAGGTTCAGGGAAAGGAGGTGCTTCTCTCTTCTTGAAGATACCGCCGATGATGCTCTACGACGCTCCGCACGCTCCAGGTAAGTAACTCTCACCTCTTCTTCTTCGGCCTGCTTCCCCCACTATCGAACACTTCTTCTCGTCCTCCCTCCTTCACTACTCCCCCATCAACACATCTTCTCACCGGCCTTGATCATGCCAGCGCTATGAGTGCAGCGAGCATTTGCTCCAATACCAAATTTGCATGGGTCCTGAAGACCACCTCACGCAAGTGTGTACGTGTCACGCATCATCCTTGCACACAATGATCAAGAATCTCACACATTAGACAAAGGTAGATGAGAAGAGAACCGAGTTGCACAACTTATATTATCAAAAAGATGATTACAGAGAGTTTCATAGTTCCCCAAGTCCAGTGCTCATCAACGAAACGCAGATCCTGCATCAACTCATCAATGCGGTTTCAATACATCAGCGCTGCTTCTGCAGATTGTACTCTGGTCATCAATGTGGTCACCACTTATTGGGCCAACCTCTGCAGCTCATACCAACTCAGGTAAGTATCCTTCATAGCCAAACCTTGATGGAACACTCTTTGTCTCAGTCTCTCTCTCCTACGATGCATACACACTCTTCACTCACAAGGATCTACTCTGAATGCTACTCATAGCTGACTATCACTAACCCTCTATGTCTATGCTAACTCGATGGGCAGCTATGGCTGCATCTATCCCAACGCACAGTCTTCTCCCTTCTCATGGCGCATCTTCATCCTCCAGCGCTGCTCCTCCTGACTGGCGCACAAGTGCTTCAGCACTTCCACGCACAGAATGCCAGTGGAGATCTGGCGAGGAATGAGGCTGGCTGCTGCTTTTATAGTGCTGGCCTCTACTCGCTGGGTCTGCATTTGGCTGCTTCAGGCCTTCCTTTGTCCCAGACCCTGCATTGCATGTGTCCCAGTACAGTCCCAATGAAGTCAACTGCTGCTGAGGCCTCTCGGCCTGGATTTGGACTTCAGATGTCTGGATCTGGGCTGTCTCCTCGACTTAGACCAGAACTGGGACTTTACCTATTGACTTACTTTCGGACAGGCACAACTTTAGACGAACAGACACACTCACTGCCCGAACAGACACTCACATTGTGTGAATAGACACTCCCTTTCTGCACGAACAGACACACTGACTGCACGTACAGACACACCCTTATCCGAACAGACAGGACATGTGAATCTCCTGGCGAACAGGTAAGTCCTTTAACAATGACCTTTGCTTTGGTTTAGGATGTGCCCGTTGATAGAGAACTTGACCTTTGACCTGCTGTCACGTTTCTGGGTCCTGGCGAGATGCCCCTTCATGCTGCTTTACTTTTACAAGGCCTGTAACGGGTAAAGGCCCTTTTATTACCAAGGAATTGCAGGGCGGCCTCAACCCTCAAAAAAAAAAAAGGGGGAATTGCGGGATTACCCATCTTTTTAATTCGTCCTGGCAAATATACCTTCGCAACAAAGACAGTCGGGCAAAGGGGTGCTGTTGCAATCAATCAAATATGTCTGCCATGAAAGGAGGGTATTGTTGCAAACAAAAAGTGTCCTATTTATTTGTGCACATTAAACTTTGTTGTGAAGGTACATTTGCCAGGAAACATTTAAACATGGAAAACCGGGTATTTCTGCGGTTTTTTGCCTTGGAATATTGAAAAGCGGGTATTTCTGCAATTCCCTCCCCATGAAGCTAAAGAGCACACACACTGATTCTCTCTAAGGGCTTTGGAGTCTGGACCTAATGGCGGTCAGATACATCCAGGTCAGACTTTTATTGCGGCCAGATACATCCAAGACAGTCCTGGTTTGAGTATGCCCTCTGAGTGCCTACTGAAAGTTGAGAGTGAGCTCAGAATCAACAGATCATCTCACCAAAAAAATATTCTTCTTTTTCCTTGTTTTTTTTTTGGGAAAATTTGCAAAATGCCCCTGAAATTTCCGTTTATTGGCGATTTGCCCTCGGACGGCCGAGGTTTTCTGGTTTGCCCCTGGGGCCTCTGAACTTTCGTGCAGGCCCCTGTCAGTGAGGGGCCCATCTTTTCGTAATGCACCTACCAGACCTGCGGTCCCATTTCCCGTGGTGCCTGTCAGATTTGCCCTCCTGCGGGGCCTGCATCTTTGCGAGATGCCATTGGACAGGGAGGCGCGAAGATTTCAAATTTGAACGCTCCGCCGCAGTCGCATCCGGCCGCGCTGCAGTCGTCTCTCTCTCTCTCTCTCTCTCTCTCTCTCTCTCTCTCTCTCTC